ACCGTAAATATTAGACGCTAATATCAGTTCGTTGCTAGAGCCAATCTAGCATCCTGTGAATGAGGCGGAATAGCTGAGCCCCAATCCTCTGTGCGTCAAACAGAACCGCATTGGTACTCATTACATCATGAAAGTCACCAACGACAAAGCGATGTTACACCGAGGATACTCACGATTACGATGACATCAACCTTTGCTGCATTTCTCACTTTAGTGCATTTTTATTTTGAGACCTAGCGAAGTTAACATACTTAACAAAGCTGCATATAGTAGAAGTTCATATATTTTGAGAAAAAGAGCGCCCTGTTTTGATATCCAAAATAGTTAAACAAAAAGATTTCAACTTTGTGTCAACCAACGTAGAAAGAATTTATGTTTCTATACGGTCTCATTCCTTAAAATTGCTGTGTACTTACTTTGTATATAAATTACTTATTTTCTCATGCGATTCCCTTTGAAAAATTGAAAAAAGTGGATATAAACTGCAAAAAATTCGAGTGTGAATTAGTCTGCACACCACTTTAAGAAAATATGAAGTGTTTCGTACATAACGTACACTGATTTTTTTTGTATCACTTGTAAAATGAGAATAACAAAAACACATCTTCAATCATACACGTGTCTATATATGATAAACAAATGCGGACTCTATTTCTGTATACCAAATATATAACTGCTTACTTTAAAATAACAGAAAAAGAATTCTTTTGCGTTCTTGTAATTCAAAACATTACTCACTGTGTTCAACAAAATTCCGGTACGTGGCTTGAGCCGCGTTGCGAATTTTAAAATTCGGTTACTTTAATTGATCCTTAGCAGTTTTTAACCTTGAAGAGAGCCGTGGAACCACGACTGTCGACGTATCTGCCAGATTGTTCTGCAATAGCCGCAGTTATTGTCGCGGAAGCGGGAGTCCTGTCGCGAAATAGCGATCACGATAAGAGAAAACTATACTGAATTCTTAAGAACCTATGCAGACTTTAGAGCCTTACCGCGAGTTCGCGAGTATACAGAGATTGCGCCGTGACTTCGCGACATCAGAGCGAGCGCGGCGTAATTACATATCGCGCAGTGGATCTTAAAGAAAAATTTTTTTTGAAAGTAAGATTTGATTAAGATCACGCCCCGAGTTTAATAATAGAGCGCGAGCGCGATGTGAATACAGGATTTCATCGCGACATGCGGGATATCATAGCGATCGCGGTAGTGACAGCGGGATCGCGTCGTGAATGAGTCACGAGAGTGGATTAGGATTATCAAAATACTAAAAGAAGTGATATATGCCATAAAAGTTTTGTAATGATGTCAGACTCTATGATGTGTTCATCAGCCAACAAGTTCTCAGTTGACTCTCTGTATAACGTTATATCATATAAGTTAAAGAAAAGTTCCATTTGTTTTTAGAGCTATTTCTATAGAATACCAGGATATATTCCATTTTATTGCCTTAACCGTATTTAGTAGTAAAAATTAGTACGAAACGTTATCTAATTCCCAAAGCTGTCTACAAGGCCTTTCGAAAACCAAAGTACTTTCTGCTCGTTTTTTTAAACTGTTATTGGAGTTCATGGTGCAGTACAGGAAGAATGAAGTATATCTTGATATTCGGAAGCGATCTGGAGCAGTTTTGAGTGAGTTATGAAAGTTTTAATTTGCGGTAAAAATAGTGAAAAATAGATTATTTCGTCTAGTATAGGTTTTCACTATTTTTATTAAGCTTTTTCGAAAAGCAAACACTACCATGCAATTGAGCGTGGCCGATAACCTATGTTTCCATGAAAAACCCGGTTCTGATGTGTCTCAGGAAAAGTTCGCTCGTGCCCGAACGATCGCGGATGAAGCTGCTGGATTTTGGCAGATATGTAGACTAGATGGCGCTCTATGTTAAGCTTATTTTCAAACATTAGATTTGTATGAAAAGTCAGGGAGCGGTAATCTTGCCTTTGGAACATCGATGAGGTACACTGTGGTAGACCTCATTGGTAGAATTGATTAATACATAGAAAGATGCTATCACATGCTGGCTACAAGACACTGGAATAGCAGGTCTTCATCTTCTTCCGCTAAAAAGTTATAAGAAAAATGATGGCAACCACTATTCATTTGGAAGATAATAGTAGTTGCAATAAAATCCTCCAGTACAACAGAATTGTGGTTACTGAGAAATCGAATTTTTCTAGCAACATTGCGTTTTTTCAAAAAACTGGAAAAATTCGTAACTCGACTTCAAAGGCTTAGACAACCGAACCAACTTATAGCTGCTCTAGTCTAGAGATCCCCAGAATATCAGCTCAAAAGCGAGTAAACACCTAGAGTGATTTCGTCGTTAGACTTATGTGATGAAAGAAAATTCAGGACGAAACCAATATCTTAATGGCATTTGTCTTCTGTTTCTAGCAAATCTAAAGAAAGACTTATCACAGATACAGTTCATATAAAACCAGGACAAATCTTTTTAACTTCTAAGATTATGTCTTATTTTGATCAAAATATCGAATGTACGAAAAAGTGTGGGGGAAAAGCGCAGATATATTTATAAGAATGAAAATCATGTTGTTGTATTGTCGTTCATCATAATTGATTTGTATATTATTTTTTTATCTTATATTTCTCAAAAATGAAAATAAAAGTTTTAAAACAACGAAAGAAAGAAATTGAAAGAAGTAGCTGCAATCTTATTTGCACTTTTGCACGTCTGAGCATATTGAAGTAAGTTCTTTAGGAGCCTCAAATCGTCTAGGTCTCAGTCGACGTCTAATTACCGTGACTAAGTAAGCTAGCAAAGTCCATACTCCTTCTAAACCAATGAGTAATGTAAATATCCATTGTGCTGCCTCCTTACCCGCGTCCGATGTTGACGAAGACGTAAACATACTTAACAAGGGCCCAATCATCCATGCAATACCCAGTGTTATACAGGAGATGAAGCAAACAAATCTAGCCATACGCATTCGTTGTTTTGTAACCATAACAGATGAGTGAGATCGTACAGCTTTAGACAGATGATAAACGGTAATTATAACAATGATAAGTATATTTAGTGTCACAAATATTGCTACTGGTATTGTCACAAAACCGATCAAATAACTTTTGTTGAACCAACATATTGTTTTATATTGAATAATGATTTTCTGCGTGAAACTTGAAGTTAGGGCAGCTGCGGTTATTGTTGGTATTAAAGCCAATAGAAATGAAATGAACACACCAAAGATCATATGTTTATTCGTAATCACACGAATCCATACTAAATTGTAGAAATAACTTAGAGCCAGTAATGTACGTGATGAAAATGTAAGTATAAGAAAAAAGTAAACAGAAAGCGCTAAAGATTGCTTATCAGATGTACAATAATCGATTATCTCTGCATTTGGCGCAGACGACGTAGTATGTAATAGCAGTATTGTCAGCAGAACAAATAGTAGTAATGTTGTTGATGAAGAATATAGACTGACTACAGTATTACTGTTCTGTGTCGTCGGTTGCCTCGACAATCCATCCGTTGAACCATTTGATATAATATTTTGTTTATTTTGCTGTACTTGTTGATAGATGGTTATACCTACAGAAATAGAAAGACATATAATAGATAAAGCAGCAGCAACAACACATGGTATAGTTGACGTTGATAAAATATGATTCTCAATGTCAGACGAAAACAGCAAAGCAAATGATGTTAAATGATCACATGTACATTGATGCAACTCTGTTGCGATAATGAATTGATATGTGCATCCACTATTGTCCCATTGACCAGCATCCTAAAAATAACAACCGTACATACCAGGTGATTGCTGATCATTTTTGTATTTGAATGTCATTGTCGCATTAACAGATCTGATTTTTGTTTGATCAACATAGCCCCCAACCACGGGTGAAACAATAACCTTTAAATCGTTTTGAACAGCAAATTTAAAGAGAATGGATGGTAAAAAATAGAACGTTGACAGCGTACTGTCATCATTATTTTGACTTTCTAAATTTAGAGTAATATCAGATGTGAAAGTATTCAATTTTTGTGCTGCAGAAATCGATGTTCGATTTGGTAAAGTCAAATAACTAAAATTAAAATCTGCGTTCAGTTGAGTTAGACCGATTAACTGATAGGAAGAAACGGCAGCAACAGAATTATTCGTAATATTTATTGGCTGATTAATGGTTGAAATTAATTGTTCGATTTGATGAACAGACGATTGAAGCTTACTTTGAGTTTGTGTAGTTGTTTGAGAGAAAGAATATGATTCTAAATTAGATGCTGCAATACTAATGGCTCCTGCGAAGCTTGCAATATTAGAACTGTTCAACGAATTTAGAGAATTGAGCTGAAAAAATATAAGAATATTACAGAACGCAGAAAATTTTGATTTCATTTTTAACTACCTTTTCTCAATATTTTTATAGCGATTAGGGTGGGATACGTATTATTTTACCTGACTATTGAGATTATCCGCCACATGTTCGCTTGAGTTGAATTGTGTGGCTGTCGTCGTCTGTTGACCTGTGATTGTATTGTTGTTTGTAGTAATGTGGCTAAATAATAAAGCCAGTGATCTAGAAATTGCTATGTACAAAAAATAAGACCATGTTTTTCATGATCTCTTCCTTAATATCCAACATAGTACATCGTGAACGGTACCATTTGTATAGTTATGCGTGAAAATTTGAATTTGTTCCAAGAAACAGATACTTATTAGACTCAGCACGTTTTGTCAGCATGAAAAATCTTATGCAGATATTATACTGCGTAAGTTGAATTTAAAAAAACAACGATTCATTTAAGATAAAAGAAAGTTAGTAGTAAATTTTAACTATAACAGAAGAAAATATAAGAGTACTTCAAAATGCATAATAATTTTAATATGACAATCGATTACCTTATGTAACTTCTCTCTTTCGGTCTTTTCTATCGTAATCTCAAAATAGTACAAGTAGTTTCTCTCTTCTATTTTCTTCCAGTTTGACTAATATTCGGTATTTGATTTGATTTTCAAAAGATGATATTTCTTTTCCGTCTTTTTATTTTTTGTGGTGTTCAGTATCTCAAGAATTTTCTACATGTAGGAATTTTGTATATATATTTGTAAGGTAAAATTGAGTAGATTGTGGAGTGGGAAATAGAAATTCAAGTAAGAAGTACAAAACTCCAACGAAATGCATCTTTTAGTGAAGTTAACTACTACACTGATTTACCGAGCTTTCGACCTGTTTATTCT